AGCAAATTCCTTTGTCAACTGCATTATAATCAGATCTATAACCACATAATTTTACGATTCTTTGTCATTTAAAGACAGTCATTGTTTTGCTCTAATGCATTTACAAGTATGTTACATAATCAGAAAGATCCATAGAAAGAGCTCTTATTCTAAATTACATATTTTCAGATCACACCTTTGAAGTGGATGTAGTACTAAAAACTCTATGGAATAACTGGATTTATGGCAAATAATCAGGATAAACAAAAATTGATTATGAGGCTAAATGAACTGAAGATCATTGTAGTTTTTGTAATTTTTTTGTTGAAAATATTGTTCATTTTTGTCCTGGCTGGTGTTGCCCAGTGGTTAGAAAATCAGCCCATACACAAAGGGTGGAAAGCTTGATTCCTGCTTGGGTCTTATGTGGGAGGCAACCAACTGATGGTTTCTCTCACACTGATGTTTTTCTCTCCCTCTCCCTCTCCCTCTCCCTTCCTCTCTCCTCCTCTCCCCTCTCCCTCCCCTCCACGTTCCATTATCTCTAAAAATTAATGGAGAGAGCAGCAGCGAATCTGACTGAGAACACCTCCAGCGCAGAGGGATGTTCCAGGCGAGAACGGGTGCCCCAGGGGCCGTCCTGCGTCTCCAGCCTCACCTGCTGCCCAGCTCCCACGCTCAGGGCAGCTCTGGGTGCTGAGCTGAGAGCGAAAGACTGCTAGGAAAGGAACAGGAGTTTGGAAGCGTAATGGTCATTACACACATTTTAAATGACCTCTCAAAAGCCCCAGCCTTTCTCGACGGCAGCAGCCAGCCACCACCAGGCGCCACCCCAGTCGTCGGGGCTCCCTCACTCGATCTCTCTCCTATTCAACAGGATGTTTCCTGGTGCCCGACCCAGAGCTGCCCAGGACGAAAAGCCATCTTGGAACCAAGAAATCGGGGCTATGATGGGGAAGGAGGGCACTGCCTTTATGGGGAACAGGGAAGGCAACGGCTCCTAAGGCCATTTCCAGGTGCAGGTCCCCAGGAGCCCCTGGACGCATCCCGCGGAGCCCCAGCACCCTGTCGGCAGAGGGTGTCCGTCATCAGGACAATGCCTGCGAGAAAAAGGGGCCACCGGCTGGGCTCCGGGCACNACATTCGGGGCTGGAAGCCACAGCCTCAGGGAGCAGAGCATCGGGCCAACCGCCCCTCAGGGAAACCACCTTCACTGCAAAGACACCAGGTGGGAGAGTCCCGCCCCTGCCAGGCTGGAAATGCACAAAGACTGGGTACTAGGAAGGTGGGGGAAGGTGAGGGACAGGGTACCAGGACAGACCTGGAGACCCTCCGTGTAAGATCAGAGCAAAGGTGTCCACAGCAGGTAGAAGACCAGGGGACATCCCGACTCCCGGGAGTTTCCCAGCTCCAGTCCCCAGCATCAGTCCCACACTTTCATTGAGCCCTGAAAAGCAGGTCTTTACTAACAACCCCTTAAAAACCTCTTAACAGAAAAACAGTTTTTTCCACCTTGACCCAGATACTAAATACAGCATCACTGGCCGAGTTCAGCAGAAGGTTTTCCCCACATTTGCCGCAGAGGTGAAAAAATTAAAAAAAATAAAAAATAAAAATAAATGGAAAAAATATCCTCTGGTGAGGATTAAAAATTAAATATATACATATATTGCTGATTTTTGACTTTTTATTTTCCCAACATAAGGAAACGTGTGTGTCTGTGTGTGTTTTCCTTAAAGCCATTTGGTAAATTATACTTTCATATTAAGCAATATTAAGGCATTTATATTTTTCTCCCTACCTAATCCCTCTGGATTTGGAAATTCTCAATGAGTATTGTTGTTCTCATGGCAACATATTTTTTGCATAAATCCAGTAAGAATCTGTTGGTATTTCTTCACTTAATATTTTAAAAATATGTGTTTTTTTTTAATAATAGAGAGCAAGGAACGGAGAGGAAGAGAGACAGAAAAATCAATGAGAAATATCCATCAGTTGCCTCCAGTAATCACCCCAAAGAGGGATCAAGCCCGCAACCTGGATATGTGCCCCTAAGAAATATATCTGCTTTTAACTCATGAGACTTTGCTTAACAATAGGGTGAAGTCTTTCATTCCACCAGAAGATTCTGAAGACGACATAACTTCATAGATACAAAGGAAGACTGACAGTGGGGAACTGTAACAGGAAATAAATTCTTTATCCTACTCTAACTAAACATTAAATGGATTTAGAATAGAATGTACTAACAAACAGATAAATATGTTGACAGTTTCCTTATAAGCATATAGTAGGCATCAGCAGCTCCAGTTCCTGCTTGTACAAGAAAAGGCCTTGACTTTGAATTTGGTTGACGCAGCTTGCCCAACTGCAGGTATTTGGCTAGCTAGCACTGATCAGTTCCAGTATGCTGAAATTAACAATCCATAGCAGGACCAGTATAGGCACTGCCTGAAAGACTACAGACCCTCGTCCTAATCTCTTTGTTCTGCTTTCCCTCCCTCTGCCTTCCTATTAAAAACCCTGGCTGCACTGAGAGGCAGAGATGGGTTTTGGACAAGACGCCCCCATCATCTTGAGATCCCAGCTCTCGAATAAACTCTCCTTTTCACCAACATCTGTATCAGGAGTCTGGTTTAGTGGCAGGAGGAAACACACCTTGGTTTTGGTTACACTACACTAAAAAAATTTCACAATTCTTATTGGCAAACCCCTATTATAAAATATTATACTCTATTATCATTTTTATAGTTTGAATTTAGCAAATAAAAATGTGGAAATTTGTTTTTCTCTCACATATAAATACCTGTCAGCACTTGGTCTACAAGTGTAAATTATTTACTATCTGTTTCTTTACAGAAAAAGTTTTTCAATTTCTATGCAAAAGAACTTTACTGGAGTAACTGAGGAACTACTAGAGGTGAAACTTGAATGGGGTCAACTAGATTATAGATATATGTCAATGTTAATTTTCCAGTGTAGATGTTTAAATTTCTGTTATGTAGAAGAATTGTTTGAAGAAATACACATTACCATTTTGGGGAATGACAGAATATCAAGCAAATTACTTTCATTTGGGTTAAGGAAGAAAAGTTCTTTGTATTGCATTTTCTACTCTTCTGTAATATTGTGATTAGTTCAGCAACAACAACATATGCATAGTTCTGCATAACATAAGGTTTAGGTGTACACAACAAATATCCTATAGCAGAGACACTGTAAAATGTTCATAAAATAAAAATAAAGGTAGAATAAAAAATGAAAATGTTACAATAAGAAAGCTAAAAGTCAGTGAAAGAATTCTTTCTATATAACTGTTAAGAAAATTCAACTAAAATATAATGAATAAGAGAGGCAGCATGGTAAGATGAATACAGTAAATTCAATAGTACATTTTAAAGCATAAAAAATTTCCAAAAGCACAATGAAAAAATTGAGCAAATAAAAATTCAAATCTCTCACATATAAAGCAGTTAATCTTTTGACTGACATTGAGTACCTAGCACAAAACACACACACACACACACACACACGCGCGCGCGCGAAACAACAAAACCACACCCAAAAAAGCAAAAACAAAATCTACTCCAAGGTACCTTATCTTGAGATTTCAAAACTCAAGAGTTAAAAAGCTTTCAGATAGAAATGACTTCAGTCATGCTATGGAAATAAAATGAAATACATTTTCCACATTCAACTCTATGCTCTAACTACAAGTAAAAAACAGAAATAAAAACCCCACAGAACTACAAGTTAAGTGTTTAGTTGCAGTCAGATAACTATCTTTTAAAAATAATCTGCTTCATATAACTTGTTTTTAGGAGAACATGCTGCAGCAAAATGAGGACAAAAGACAGTTCAAGAAAAAAGAACCCTTAAGGTTCCCCCAAATGAAAGTTGTATAAAGAAAAAAGAACCCTTAAGGTTCCCCCAAATGAAAGTTGTATAAAGAAGTTCCAAAATAATAACTGTATCAAGTTGTATAAAGAAGTTCCAAAGTAATAACTGTATCAAAAAGAATACAGACAGGAGCGGGAGAAAATACCCAAGAAAACATGGCATAACACATATGACCGTGGAAATTGTTTTAAAAATTCCTGGGGAGAATGTGGTAAATTAGTTACCACCACAGAAAACTAAGCAGATGAAATGGGAAAATATTAAAATCTAGTATAAAGAGGGTGAAAAAACCAGGAAATTACAGTATTTTCACATGTAGTCTTTATGTTACTGTAACAGGGTATACAGGGTATGAAAAACCTCACATTTAATTAACTAACTAATCAAAGATTAAAAGTAAGAATATACTAACAGAACTAAAAGTCTGATATAGTAATAGTTTCATATATAAGCATGTTACAGTCAGCAGCAGTTCTAGTTCCCCTTTTCACTGACCTTAACCACAGGAGTATAGCACATGTTGATGCCTGGCCAGGCCTACAACATCCTGTCCCCTGGCATAAGCAATAAAACCCACAGAGAGAGAAACCAGAATAAAAGCTGTATGCTGACACAGACAAAAGAGAACATCCAAAACCACCCAAGAGCTGGAATGTAAAACAGCGTGTCGCCAGAATTCCTTAGTTCCCCTCTTTCCACAATCTCCCTATAAAAGCCCTTTGCCACTCTGAGTTGTTAACATAGTTGTTAAGGCATGAGTCTGCCATCTTTTCAGGTAGTTGGCATCTGAATAAATCCCTCTCCTTCCATCAGCACCTGTGTCATGTGTTTCACTTCACGGAAAAAAGGCAAAAGAACCCGAGGGTTGTTTTGGCTGGTTTCATTAACATGTTATTAATGTTAACATGTTATTAAGCCCACTATTTCCATAATATTTACATAGTCTTAAAAATGTAATACAAATTTAAGGAAAAATTCTTAGAGGATCAAAAAACAAAAGATGTAAAACTGTATAAGAAATATACATTTTCATTACACTAAACTAAATCAGTGTAAAATACCTCAACTTGGCATAAAAATATGTTAGGAAATATTTAATGGAATATAGGAATTTTTCTTACCTGGTGGCATAAGTTTCATAAGTAGTCTTGCTCCATTTCTAAGTGGTGGCATTTTCAGACTGCTACCTAAGTCTGCAACTTGCCAAAGGAAGGAGATGTATCTGGGGTGCTGTGACATTATCTGTAATATGGAATACAAAAAATACTTACCTATAAATTATGTCAAAAATTTTTATTCAAATTAACCTATTCACTGTCCCTGTTTTCTACTTGTAAATCACATCTTTTGCCAATGTCATTTTTACTTCCTGAAAACTTGTTTCCCCTCATCTTTTCACTTTCACAAATGCAGTGATCCTTCATGATGTAAACTTAACCATTATTAGCATTTCTAAGTTACTTTGAGTAATTTCTTTATGACAGGCATACAGGCATTCTGTTATTTCATAAAACATGGAACTCAAAAATTTTTTTAAATCCTCACCTGAGAATATTTTTTCCATTGCTTTTCAGAGAGTGAAATG